TTGAAATTCAAAAATACATTGAAACCTCCAAATATTAAAGTATCTATGCTAGGTGTATTATCTTTCCATTATTCTAGCTAAATATCTGATATAGGCTACTTAGAAAGAAAGAGGTTTTTACTTCATTCCATGGGTTTGGAGGTTCACAGATAAAAAAGACTGGTTGAGCCCCATAGAGGGCTGCAGTGGTAAGGTGGCTGCAGAGAAAGATCAAATGGCAAGTCAGGAAGCAGAGAGAGAGAGAGGCTAACCTGGACCCTCAGGCTTTGAAAACCAGCCATCCCTAAACACTATCTTCTTAGTAAGGATCTCTCAGTAGGCCCGCAAGCTACACACTATAATTGGATTAAATTTCTACTCTTAATCTGTTAATCATTACCACGAAGACTTTGTGGACCAAGACTTTAAAACATGGGTCTTTGGGGGAGATGCAATTGATATTCAAACCAAAGCACTGAAGAAAATTTTGATGTTCATCCTCATAAAACAAAGTCAGACTGATGAACTAAGCAGTCTCTAGAAGAAATGTCTTATTGCACTCACAGCATATTAAAGTACACATTTCTAGTGTGCGTGTCGGATAAGCTTAGGCAGGTTGCAGATGTATTTAATTTAAAGGAGAAAATAGGTCCACCATCAGCATTTCCCTGATGGGGCACTACTACCCACCAAGAAGGTTCACCTGCTGCCCACAAAAATCTCACTCATACGTTTTAAAATTTGCTTCAAATGTAATCTTTTGCAAGAAACCTTGGATCACTTCTCTAACTGTAAGTCACGTTGTTCCTAGATGTAGCAGTATTTGAATTTTTAAAAAGAGATTTATTTATCTGAAAGGTAGAGTTATAGGATAAAGGTAGGGAGGAAGAGAGGGGGAGAGAAATTTCGCATCTGCTTCTTGGCTCTCCAAATAGTTGCAACTATTGGAGCTATGCCTGCCTAAAACCAGGAGCCAGCAGCTTTTTGTGCATGTCCCATGTGTGTGCAAAGGCCCAAGGACTTAAGCTCTTTTCCATTGCTTTCCCGGGAACGCTGGCAGGGAGCTGTATCAGAAGCAGAGCAGCAGGGATGCCCACAAGAGATACTTGCATCACCGGTGGCCACTTTGCCTGCTGTGCCATGATATTCAGTTCCTGGTGTTTGCATTTCTAGTGAACATATTTCATACTGCTTTGTATTATAGTTAAATATTTACTATTCAATCCCCAATTATGATAGTGTTTTATTCCTTTCTGGGTTTCCCACAGTGCCCAGTATAGAGAAATACACAAGAAAGAACTCAAGGAGTTATTGCTCAAGTTCATAAATTATAATCTTGACATGCCCATGTTAACTTTACCCTTGAGGCATTCTCAGAGCATAAGGTGCACACAAGGTGAAGATAATTATTTATGGTTACTGCAGGCCCAGACTCAACAATGCAGTAAGCAAGCTTGAGAAAAACTGGCAAATGGTGAGACAAGCCCTGCAGGAGAGGGCTGTGGAGGTATGGAGGGGAGGGGGCAGGCTGAGAAGTGATCTTAGACTCCTGTTCCTCTGACATTTAGATTAGTCTGTTCCTTTTAGGCATTTCTGTTTATAGTTTCCTGGTATTAAATGGTAATTGGTCATACAGATCTTACTTTTATAAGTTGTTTTATTTAATAAGTTGTTGATGTGGTTGACCGAAGTTACACAGATACTTATAGCAAGAAATGTAAATATAATTTTAAAGGATCAAATATGACATTAAGTGGAAAAGGATTAAAATTATATTTGAGATATGGGGAGCACCTTCATTTATAATACAGAACATGAATATTTTTGGATTGATACTGGATTGAACTGTGCTTGTTCAATTTTGTAAATCAAAGCATTGGCCTACATCTTTGATCTGTGTGTTTAGGGTTTATAGTAACAGACACCTTATAGAAACTCAAAATAGAAATCCCATCTTCGGAGGTAATGTAGTGCAGAGACCTGAGAAGAGAAGGTCTTAAGGTGCTGTTAATTAGCAAAAATTTGAAACACACAGTCTCAAAGCAATTAAGGCCAGTAATTGAATATTTGGATGCAGAATGTAGTGGTGCCTGTGGCCAGAAAGGGTACCCAGGCTTCCGTACAGAAGTTAACCTTACACAAAGGATGTTGAACAATTCAGAAAGAAAAATATAGGTCTATGTGCATTTGTCTGGTAGCCAACTGCAGTCTTGAATGGCAACACATGCTAAGTTGTATGTAAAATCTTCTATTATTAGTTGCAAAATTGAGTGTGCTATCATTCACCCATCTTATGTAAATACAGCACATCAGTTACTCTTGGAATACTTAGAAGTATTTTAGCCACGGTGACTTTTGTTTTCCTCTGGATTGGTTAGCATCTCTAGGGAAAAGGAATTGGTGCTCGTGCAAAGGCTGCAAACAGAATTAGCTCCATTGCGCAGACATTGTGGTGCAATGGATTAAATGACCACAGTGGCATCCCATATTGAAGCCCTGTTCAAATTCTGACTACTCTGCTTCCAATCTAATATCTGCTATTGGGCCTGCTAAAGCAGCAAGCGATGGCTTGGAAACTTGGGTTCCTTCCACTCACAGGGGAAACCTAGATGGAGTTCCTGGTTCCTGAATTTGACCTGACCCTGTTCCTAAAGTTGTAGGCATTTGGGGAGTGAACCAGCAGATGGAAGAATCTCTATCCCCCCCTCATTCTTTGTTACTCTGCCTTAAATAAATTTTAAACCAAATCAAAAAGTTACCTGTGTATATTTCTGGTTAGAGGGAAATGGATATTTCTGATAAGCTCAGGATGGAAAGTGATTTTATTATTGAGATCCTCTACAGTGTTTCTAAGAGTCTCTTGGCTTGAGATTTGATTCATGTATGAGCATACTTTTAAAAAGAAACCTAAATTAAATTTAAGATAGAAAAAATGTTTCAAGAAAGGAAAAAGAAATAAAATGGTCCATTTAGAAAAACTTCAGTGGAAAGGCTTACTATTTTTTTGGCATTTAAAATATAATTTATCTGAGAGACATAAAGAGGGAGAGAGAAACTTTCCATCTACTAGTTCATTCCCCTGGATGGCCATAATAGACACATCTGGGTTAGACCAAAGCCAAGAATTGGGAAGTCCATTCAGGCCCTCAACATGTATGGCACAGGCCCAAGCAAGTTTGTGGGCCATCATCTGCTGCCCTCCCAGGCCCATTAGCAATGACATGTATTGGAAGCAAAGGGAGCAACCAGGACTTGAACTAAAGCCACAATATGGGATTCTAGCACTGCAAGCGCTGACTTAACCTCATGTGCCACAGTGCCTACTTGGACATTTTTGTCTCCTGTCCTTTACTGCCTACTCCATCACTTCCTCATTTTTAGAAATGGATTTCACAGAAGCACAGAATCTAGAGATCTCCATCCTGATTTTAAGAATTAAGTATTTAAAGGATAAAAGGATTTAGGAACAAACTGTTGAAAACTACTAACATATTTTGGTATGTGTACAGAACATTAACACAAATTGTAGTTAAGGTTCAAATTATTGGAGTGTCTTATGCACAGAAAACTTTCAAAATGTGGAGTGAATATATTTAGGAGTTACTGGTATAGCTTTTTAAAAAAGGCCATTTAAAAATGGCCAGGCAGCTCTGGGTTCCATTCCTGGCTCCAGCTCCTGCTTCCTAGAGCAGATCTGGCAGATTCTCGGATGCAGTGGCTGTGGTCCAAGCCCCTGCCACCCGTGTGGAAGACTGGAATTGCATTTCCTGTTCTTGGCTTTGGACTAGGCTGCTGTGTCTGGCTGCTTTCTTTCTTTTTCTTTCTTTTTCTTCCTTTTCTTTCCTTTCTTTTCTTTCTTTCTTTCTTTCTTTCTTTCTTTCTTTCCTTTCTTTCTTTCTTTCTTTCTTTCTTTCTTTCTTTCTTTCTTTCTTTCTTTCTTTCTTTCTTTCTTTCTTTCTTTCTCTCTCTCTCTCTCCCTTCCTTCCTTCCTTCCTTCCTTCCTTTTTTTTTTTTTTTTTGAGGACAGTTGCTGGAGGCAGGTGGGGAGAACCAGTTGGGAGGCTCTCTCTCTCTCTCTCTCTCTTTCTCTCCTTCTCCAATATTTAATACATGGAAATGCGGAGAATGGGGGCTGAAGTCCTTACCACCGGACTAGGAAGCATATTGAGGAGGTAACACTCTGACCTCTGTGGATCAGGAAAATTCCTGTTAAGCAATGTGTGCATTTCATTATTTGCACGGTTTTACCAGGTGATTGGGAGCTGTGTACACACAACAAAGCGAGCTGCTAGCAGCACTCCAGGACTCTCAAACTAAAACCAGTCAATCTTTGTTGCCTTTCTCCGCCTCTGTTTCTGAAATTGTGTTTTCTGGTAGAAAAATTCCCTTGGTTGAAAAATTTTCTTCTTTATGTGTTTATAGGAACTAAAGTTTCTTGGAAAATTTCTGCACTCATTCCCACTGTACTATAAGCCGAATTAAAAAGTACTAATAGAAAGATTGCGTTTGGACAAGCCTTTGGCTTTTGTAAAGGCCACTCTCAGCACTTCTCACCCCCTACCCCTAGCTATGGCAACCAACCTCTCTCCACGCCATCACTCCCCTACCCTAACTTTATTATTATTGTTGTGATGATGATGATGATGTTGGTATTTCCTAGAGTTTGTGTGAAGGCAAACAAGAGGAGAAAACTTCTGAGCCGGGCCAGATGCAGAACGTCCTGAGGGCTAACCTTGGACCCCACAGATTCTTGAAAGAAGCATGAGGTGAGACAAGGGGTCCCAGAGAGGGAGCGCCCTGGTAGTGTTGCACCAGCAACAACGCCTCAGCAGGGCAAAGGTTGCAAGCATACAACTGGTATTTCTGTGGGCCCAGTTCCTGCTGTCCTCTCCCCTGGGACCCGGGCCACCGAGAGAAGGGGGCGGATCCTTGCTTGCCAGACACGCCTCCGCTGGGTTTATAATTCGCTGGGCGCAGGCACTCAGAGCTGCTGGCTCGCTCAGCGCACAGCACAGAGACTCCAGACACACTCCTGCCGGTTGCGGGAAAACTCTTGACAGACAGACCACGCACCCCGCAGTCCCGCGCGTCGTGCCGCGGCCTCCGCTAACCCCTGCACTCCAGCCGCCTCTCCCGTGTTCTGGTCCCGCCTGGGCGCAAGCACCGCTGACCTGGGCACCCTGCAGGCTCCCCATGGCTGACCTGAGCTTCATCGAGGATTCCGTGGCCTTCCCAGAAAAGGAGGAGGACGAAGAGGAAGAAGAGGAGGGAGTGGAATGGGGCTATGAGGAAGGTAAGTCGCTGGTCTGGGAGTGCGGGAGCTCTGGGAAGGCGCATCGGTGCTGCTGGGCGCGAGGCTTTGAACGCTGCTTTCTGTCGCGGATTCCAAGCACCCACAAAGTACCAGATTTGTCGCTGGGGTTCCAGTGGCATCCTCACTCTTAAGTGCTTGCGTTTCTAGACAGGAGGCGCTCCGGTGAGGGGTGCTTGCCACCTGCATTAGCGCCCGGGGAGCTGCAGCAGGGTGGACCTTCCTCGTTGGCAGCTGGCAGTTTGCACCTGCTGCAGACCCCACAGTGAATCCTTAAGCCGTGTCTCTACCTGTCCTTTTAAGCATAACACCTTGGACAGATAGCATTAGCACAACTCCCAGCTTCTTTTCTGGTTTAAGTTCTTCGTTAGCAGAAAGCACGTTAGTCTTCTCTTCAAGGAAGCTAGCCACTCTCAGCTTCATGGAAAATATAGCTTAAACCCGAAACTGTGCGACTGGGGCAAAGAGGTCAAATTTTTAAGAAAATTTTGTAGTCATGATTCCTGGACCTGTGGGGTCCCTAATAGAGATAACTGTTCATGCTGATATTTACTACAGATGTTACAAATGCATTTTAGTTACAAAGATTTTATATATGTGGGTTTATCTATGCACACATTCTTTAAAGTACAGTATTTGCATTAATGATAAGAGATGTTTATTCTCTAGCCCCAGACTTAGGTGTTTGGATCTCACAAAGCAGCTGTTAAGTGAACCAATGGGCAGGCAAACTTTTGTGCATTTGTAATATAATCGCTTTAAGATGATTTAAATATCCTAGATTTATAAGTTGTTACATCGTGTGGGCAAATAGCATATTTTATTGGTCCTGGAATTTGTGGCATTTGATAATGGTGAATTATTCAGCAGATGAAAACAGGTATTCACACACATTTACTGCGTTTCATCTGGAAAGACTAGTTGTAATGTCAACTTTTGCATGCTGAATTTTATTGTCACTTGCTGTGTTTTTCGGTGCCCATTTTTGTTGTATCTCACTTTGTTCCTAGGTGTGGAGTGGGGCTTGGTGTTTCCTGATGCTAATGGAGAATACCAGTCTCCTATTAACCTGAATTCCAGAGAAGCTAGGTATGACCCCTCACTGCTGGATGTCCGCCTCTCTCCAAATTATGTGGTGTGCAGAGACTGTGAAGTCACCAACGATGGACACACCATTCAGGTTATCCTGAAGTCAAAATCAGGTATACTCGGAGCTGTGCACGTTCCTTGTCCACTGGAAGTCACAGAACTGAGGAACTCTGCTTTAACTTGTCGGACTTGAAAAGTGCAATGAATATAGCTCTGTTTTTCAGGACAGTTGTGTATGTTATAAAGTGCTATTTTTTTGGGGGGGGGATGTTAGTTTCTGAAAGAATTTTGACAGCATAGGAGGGTGAAATTATGAGGACATCAATCAGTGGTTCTGCTTTTAGACATTCTGGAACCATAGTTTGGTCAGCTTACTCTTTGTGAAATATGAAGAACATGCATGTAGCTGTTTGCTTAAGTGCATTGTCCTAAATTTTTGATTAACTTAAATCTCTTAGATTTTTATAATCAGTGTTTAACTTTGTAATACGAAGGATTAGGGTTTTTTTTTTTTGGCATAATCCTAGTATTCAACACAGACTGTTAAAGTCTACTGTATTAACGTGATAGGAATAATTTTAGGTAACAGCAGTCAAAAAATCCTCTAAATTCTGCTGAAGATTTAAGTGACAAAGCTTCACTTTTGTTTATTCATTGTTATAGCTTCTGCTCTCTTCATCTTGTTTGAGATGGGCTGTGTTTTGAGGAGAACATGTTGGTTAATTATCAAGGAAGCCCGTTTTTGGCTTAAATGTAAGGAAGAGGAAATCAGACAAAAAAAAATTGCATTGTCAGATTTTTCAGAGTGAACAATGACCATCTTTCTCTCTTGGGAAGAATGTAAAATTAGAGATCTTGAAATAGTAGGACATATTTTATAAACATGGAATAACTATGCTTAAGTTAATTTCTAATGGATGGATTTTAGATTTCAAACCGTAGAAATTTTCAGGCTTAGTATATTGGCAACATGGGTACTGATTTTCAATTGTGTATTTTTTATTCATTGTAGATATTTCTGATCTTTAATTTGGAATCCACATTAGTCATGGCCCATTTAGCCTTCCTCACTGTTTTTGGAGCCAAGCTATGGGCATTGTCCAACAGATTCTGGGTTTTATACATACTTATTGGAAGAGATAGTTTGAAATGCAAAGTCAAACATCATATTTTGGTGGGAGTGGTTTATCTAGGATGGGACATTATACTCCCCAAGTGTCACAGTTGGATTAAATTTATACCTCTTAATTCCTTATCATGGAATTAAATTTCATCATATAAGGCCCAAGGGGACATGGAGACAATATTTAAACTGTGATAGTGTCTTTCTCACATCTAATATTTGACTGGAGTTTGCCTGGGATGCCAGACTGCGTTGGAAGTCCCTTTGATGTCATTTGATGATGATGCCATTGTTGGCCTCCAGCTCCCAGTGCTGTGATTTTCCAGAAATGGTGGGGCTTTCCTTTCCAGCTCCCAATGTCCTTTTTCCTTTTCCTCTCTCTGGAAGGTTTTACAGTTCCCTTTGTTTTCAAATTTCACAACTGTTTGGCTTGTGTGGTTCTTTTTCTCAGTCTGTGGTGGATACTGAGTCTTTTCAATCAACCTGTCTTCCATTTCTCAGAAATATATTTGAGAAGATAGATATATTTACCCTGTGCCGCATTGCACAAATGTATAAAATATTATCCTGTAAATATACAGAGTTCTTCTATGCCTCCTAAAGTTTTTTTTTTACAATGATAAAAGTTATGAGCTCAAGATTTGTTCTGAAATTTGTCCAGTTCCACTAAAAAAAGGAAATCTTTATTTTTCAGATTTCTTTTCTAACTTTCTTTCTTTCTTTCTTTCTTGCTTTCTTGCTTTCTTGCTTTCTTGCTTTCTTGCTTTCTTGCTTTCTTGCTTTCTTTTCTTTGAAGGCAGAGTTATAGAGTGAGAGACAAAGAGAGAGCTCTTCCTTCTACTAGTTTGCTCTCCAAATGGCCACAACTGGGACTGTGTCATACAAGCCAGGAGCCTAGAACTCCATCCAGATCAGGTAGTAGGGGACCAAGATCCTGGCCCAAAATCGCTATTTGTTCCCTTTGCAAGCACATTAGCTTAGGACAGGGAGTGGAGCAGCCAGGGACTCAAACTGACACTCATATGGGGTGCCATTGTTACCAGTCATGGCTTAACCTACTGTGCCACAATACAGACTCCCCTCTCTGAAAAGGAAATTTTCATTTTTTTTCTGTATTATTTAATTGATTTCTATCTTTTCATCTTTTTCTTCTCTTTTGGTTGCTCCTACTTTCTCTTTGCTTTTTAAAAAATTTGTTTTCTACTTTCCGGTAGACTCTCCTAACTTATATGTTTATCTTTCAATCTTAATATTGAACATTTTTTTCCTTTATTTTATGACACAGTTTAATAGGCATTAGTATTTTAGATACAGCTTAGTATTGAACTTTTAAAAATGATTTATTTATTTGAAAAGCAGAGCAACAGAAAGGGAGTGGAAAAGACAAAAAGAGAATTTTCCATCTCTTGGTTTGCTACTCAATTAGCAACAATGAAGTCTGGAGCCTGAAACGACATAACCCAAGTACTTTGACCATCTTCTGCTGTTTTCCTAGGTGTATTAGCAGGGGCTGGGTTAGAAGCAGAGCAGCTGGGATTTAACCAGCACTGATACATGAGATGTTAGAGTGGAAATATCAGTTTAACTTGCTGTAGCACAAAATAGACCCCTCTTGAATTTTTAATTTCTGCTTTCATATTTTTTACTTTCTAAAATAAAAAGAAACAAATTTAAAATAATTTCTAGAATAAAAAGTATGCATATTTTACAATGTTTAAAAATGTAGCATCCAGTATTTATTTTGTGAATGGAGGATCCTTTTTCCCCTCTCTATTAAATCTGTCTATATATCTGTTTATTCTGATTTCATTCCTCTCTGAAGACACCAAAAAATATTTACAGAAGATGGAATAAAAGAAGTTCATTTTAATGAAGAACATGTCATTTACTAATGTGAAGGCTCTTTAGAAAGTTTATGGAAAATGTGTATAATGAAAATTATATAAAGATTAAATATTTTGTACTAAAAGCTTATCTTATTCTGTTTCCATGAACTTAAAACACCTTATTCATTGATTTTTAAAAGCAGAGAGAGTGAGAGTGTAATATATATATATATATGCTGGTGGAGTCTAGACTCAGAAACTGGTTCTCCCAAATGTCCACAATAGTTTGGTCTGGTACAGGTTAAAGGCAGAATCTAGAACTCCATCAGCATCTAGGAACTTGGGCCATCTGCTAGTATTGGCCCAGGTGCATTATCAGGGGGTTGGATTGCAAGTGAAGCATCTGGAAATTGAAAAGATGCTCCTGTATGGGGTGCATTGTCATAAGCAGTGGGTTAACTTACTTAACCACAATGCCAGCCCCTCCACAAACTTTTTGAAACACCCTTATTATTTTTTGTCTCTTTCATTCATTTTCTAGATAACAGCTCAAAATGTCTCATGGTCTTTGACTTGTTATTCATGTTTAGAATGAGTCTGAAAAGGTCTGGAGCACCGTACATCATTGGCAGGGATTGGGGTCTGGTTACCTTCACAGTAATGTCCTTAGACAAGGTCCTGGCCATGTTGTTAGCAGCTGACATCAGCTCCTCTGGGTTTGCCTGTTTGGTGTTGGTGTTTTTGTCTCTTTGTTATGCTTTGGAGGGAAAGTATTTTGGCTCATACCTGCATGCCACATTCTGGTTGCTGGCCACAGACAGCAGAGAGTGGTATACCTAGATAGGTATGCCTACATTGCCTTCATCTTCTAAGAGATGACTAGTCATGGTCAATGGGATCATGAAGTATAGCTACTGCCTTTAGAGACATGAAATCCATTTCTCCATGTAGCAGTTTCCTGCGGTATCTCATATTCTGAAGTATCTAATGCCCGCACCTCCTGAATCTTCCCTGCTGCCTTAGAGAACTCAATTGTATAACACAATACCTTAGGCTGAGTAATCCATTAATCATAGAAATTGATTTCTTATGGTTTTCTGTGCCTGGGGAAGACTGCTTTCTGCACTGAAGAGCGTGTCTTGCTGTTGCCTTATCACATGATGGAGGGGACAAGGGGCCAGACGGGCCCCCTCAGTCCATTTATGGGCACTAATCACCCTCTGATGACCTTCCTCTTCATACTTCTGCCTTACGGATGAAGTATGCATGTGAGGCATGGAGGGCCACAGGCATTCAGTCCACAACACCTAGGTTCTGGGAATGGGATTGCCTGTCTGTTGCAACCTCCTTCTTTACTGAAGTTACTTATCTGTCTCTGTTTGCACTTACTAACCAGCTGGAGAGCCTATTCTGATGATTTTTGTCATTTCATTTCTACTCTTATTTCACACCCCAGATGCCCTGAGTGCCAGGGTGGGGTGAGGACTGAAGCCAGAAACTGGGACTTCAAAGTGGTTCTTCCATGTGAGTGATTGGAGCACGTATCCCCTGAGCCGTCGCTGCTGCTTCCCAGGGTGTTCTTTAGCACAAAGCTGGAGTTAGTAGCCGAGAGCCAGGTATCAAACCCAGGTACTCCAGTATAGGATGTAGCCATCTTAATTGCCAAGCCAAATTCTTGCCCTGGTAATAACTTGATTTTTTTTTTTAAGACTTACTTTATTTGAAAGGAACAGTACACAGAGAAGGAAAGGCAGAGAGGGCTTCCATGTGCTGGCTCATTACTCAAATGGCTTCAATGACCAGGGATGTTCCAGGCTGAAGCTAGAAACTTCTTCTGGGTCTCCCATGTGGGTACAGGGACTCAAGATTTGGGCCATTTTCTGTTGCTTTCCTTAGGACTTAAGAGCGCACTGGATCTGAAGTGGAGCAGTATGGACTTGAACTGGTGACTACTTGGGGTGTTGGAATTGCAGCAGGTGGCTTAACCTCTTACACTAAATACCAACTTGATAATGACATTTTTAATGGGCCATGGGCGTAGAAGAAATTAGGGTAGGTCACCTTTGCCCACCATCATAACCTATTGCACAAACTTTATTCAGAAAATTTTACTTCTGGTTCTTAGTAATTCTTAATATTAGATTTAGGTTTGATAATTATGAGT